CAGGAATGAAGCCACAAGTGTGACCAGAATAGATTGATATTGGATTACTAGACTCAACTTTTGTTCCAGTTAAATCAACCCTTGCTGTAACTGGTTTGAGCAGTAATGTCTCCAGGTATTGTAATTGTATTGTTATTGATTGTCCAGCATTAAGACTGATCTGATTACCTGATGAGGTGAGATTACCTGGTATAGTAACAGTCACTGTTGGTGTGATTCTTATATTGGTATTATTATTACCAGAGACTATCAGAAGAGATGAGAATGAGGTTGATTCATCTGTACCAATAGACACAGCATAATACACATAACTATTGACTGGGTAAGCCAAGGCTGGATAGTTGACATAAACTCCTGCAGAATAATCACCAAAATGACTCATTGCTACAGTTACTGATATTTTCTTATTTGTTCCAGTTGTAACTAGTAAACCTTTATATCGCTCAGACTCACTATTGACATGGTAAGATAATAAACTGTCATTGATAGTTGTTGGTGTACCAGCAGTAACTGAACCGCTAGCTATTGTTTGGGTGAGAGAACTGACTGTAAAATTCACTGTTTCTATTTCAGGCGTGGTGATAACGAGTGAGGTATATTGAGTTGTTAGCATTGGTAATATACCAACAACATGTGTACTGGCAGCTGTACTCCAATCAGCTGTGGGAAGAGGAGAATCAACTATGGGAAGAGCAACTGAGAAGAAAGTAGAAAAAGAAGGATTGGAATTAAAAGAAAAAGAGAGTGAGAACAGAACATCAGTGAGATAGAGATTAACCATTAGATAGAGTAAATTTACATAGCATGCTTGCTTAATAAGAAACAGAGGGTGGGAGGCATGGAGTAACTATCATTACCCTAATTACTCTAACATTGCAATTCAACTGAAAGTCAACAACACTCTACAATACTCATGCATGCTGCATATAGTACACACATTAAAGCTACATATTAAAGCTGATGTAATAGACATAAAAAGCTGATGTAGTAGACAATAAAACTGATGACAAATGTGGTATAAGGACATGTGTACTTAATAAGAACATGTGTAAGCAAGTGTATATTGATATATGAATTAGAATGTTGATGTACCTTGAGCTATATGGGAATCAACAAGATAATAAAGCCACCAAATTAGGTCATTCAGAGAGTAAAGTAGGAAAGGAGAAGGAAGGAAAATGATTAACAAAATTACAAATATTATTTTTACTTACAGATAGAGGCTGAGCAGTTAACTCCTTGATAGCCAGTACCAGTACAATCACAGGTGTAACTGGAAGGAGCTGAAACTAGTGTACAACTACCTCCATTCTGACAAGGACCCAGTCCACATATATTTGATAGGGAACAAGCACAGGTACTATTGTCAAGTGTATAACCAGCTTCACAGCTCAGATTACAAGCTATAGAGTTGGAGAATAAAAAATTGATAAGTTTACAAATTAAATTAGCACATAAAAGTATGCATGACTAATGCACTTACTACAAATGAAGCCATTAGAAGAAGATGCATTAAAGTTAGTAGGGCATTGGGTGGTGCACTGATCAGTGGGAGAGAAATAAGGACAACAACTGGTCTGTGAGCCAACACACCTTCGGAGACCAGTATTGCAAGTGCTGTCACATGCTGTAAAAGAGAGTGAGGAAGGACCAAAATATTATTTAGATTAATTTGAGGAAAAGATTAGGAAAGGGAGAGGGTGCAATCGCAAAGACAAAACAATTCCCCCCATGGAAACGACCAAAGCAAGCAAATTGACAAAAATGCACTGTCTTGTCTACACTAATAATAAATATTTAGAAAACTCACCACGACACCTATCGCTACCAAAGACATGACTGCAGAGAACACAATCAGTGCGAGTGGATGCACTATGGAGCCCTGAGACTGGTGCAGGTATGCCTCCATTAAGATCTGCTTCCCATGATCCTGAGCTGCAGCTTAGCTGGAATATGCGTGTCGTTTGAGATGATCCAGGATTAGGAGTAAAGGTAGCAATGATTGATAAGGATCTGTATGTCCCTCTAGTGCTACCTTGAGCTTTGCACACGTAATGGACGGAGCCTACGATGCTTGGAGAATAGCTCAAGCTTCCATCACTGTCGAGTAGGAATTCATTGATAAATGAAGGCAGGTCCGATTGTGATGGCTCGGTGCAGTCTGATTGAGACGAAATGGGGGAGAAGAGACAATGGAGAAGGAGCAAAACGGCAGTCAAAACAGAAAAAGACATTATCGCCGCTTCTTGCCTGCAAAGTTCACGGCAGCAGACCGTTTATAAACACGTGGGGGTGGTAGGCGTAACAGGTTTATGTAATTATGCATAGATAATAGAGTAAAATATCTATAATACTTCAGATGAAATTAGGTGAAATTACTATTATGTTTTATGATATATAAATGATAATGTAAATCCTATTATCATAAGGTGATTAGAGCTTGTAGTTTAGTACAAATTACTATAAAGTTGTGATATGGTAATTGAATAAGAGGAGGGCGAGGGTACGGTTCGCTATGTATGCACACTTTGGAGTTTACCTTTAAGCATCAATTAATACAAGGAGAGAAAAATATGATACAGAGACGGGAGAGAGAGGGAGGAAGAAAGTGAGAGAGAGAGGGGAGATGCACACATGTTTAAACAAACAGTGAAGCCAGCTGCTACTGCCTGTATTGTTTGATGTTTATTGATACAGAGTAAGCGCAATTACTAACAGACTAAACCACAAAGCTATTAATGGTCACTCTAAAAAATAAGCAGTCAATGTTTTGCATCACTTGCGTTAGCTTCCAATTTCACACTAACAAGTAAACAGAGAAAGAAAGACAAGAGAAGCAGATAAGAGAAAGAAGGGGATGATGTAGCCACTAAGTAATAGCAATGATAACAATAACAACATTACTAAAATCAATACACTAAAATGTATTAAGAGAGTTGAAATTGCACAAGAGAACAATGCATTTATAAATATTTAATAGAGCAAAGACAATACTTGCATTTACTTACTGTATGCACATGTGAGAAATTTGGGAAAGATAGAAAGCAGATACACACAAACAATAGATAATAATAATAATAATAATAATAATAATAATAATAATAATAATAATAATAATAATAATGATAATAATAATAATAATAATAATAATAATAATAATAATAATAATAATAATAATAATAATAATAATAATAATAATAATAATAATAATAATAATAATAATAATAATAATAATAATAATAATAATAAGAATAAGAATAGTTGAATTATAATTATTTTGGACTGTCAAAGTTCTGCGAAGTGTTAGGACTATTTGGGGTTGGGCTACGAGTGTTCTTAAACTTTTCAAGTAGTTTAGAGTTAAAGAAAGGCTGCATTTCAGGTTGATGAGGTTTCTTCCATCCTCTAGCTGGAGTGCCACCTGGCGACCTACAGGAAAGAAACAAAGTTTGAAATCATTAAATGATTTCAATTAGTATTGAATCATTCCATACTTTTTCAAACTTTCTAGATACCGTATGCGTCTTAATTTTCGAGGTGTATTGAATTTTGTTATTTTCGTGCTCACCTTAAATCCACGAAATTTAAACCACCTCTAATGCCATTCTATTGTATGTAGACTATGGCCATGACATGAAAATTAGCTCACACGAATATTAACTTTTGAGCACATTTCATTGAAAACACAAAATTTTAAACACTCGAAAATTTGAATGCATACAGTAGCATAAAGACATCAATAATTATACTTACCTGTTCTCATCCGTTCTTTTTAATCGTTTCCGTAGCACAGACCCAGCTGCTAACTGCGCTATTAGCATCGACTGAGGATCTTGAGCTCTAGGAAGGAGAGAAAGAGAACTGGAATAAAAAAATAATAGCAAGCTTTAACATACTTTGCTACAGGAGGTTGCCCAGTTTTTAAAGACTTTGCTTTATTGCTTAAGCATCGCCTCTATAGCAAAAAAATAAACAAAAAATTGTGATAAATTTTTATGGATTGACTATAAATTTTTTTACATAGTATAGCCACACCCACTAGTTAATATTTAATGAGCTTACAGTCAGTGGTGATGCACGTGATGGGGCATATTTGGGTATACCAGCGACAGGAGGGGGAGGTGGAGGAGGAGGAGGGGGAGGAGGTGGTGGGGGAGGTGGAGGAGGGACAACACGAGGAGAAAAAGCGGGAGAGAAAGATAATTTTGTTGGCATTCTAGAATCAGCTGCTGCCCTCCGTCTCTTTTCAGCTAGTCTGGCAGAAGAGCGTCGTCCTGAAATATAAAATATAAATCAAAATTTTCTTTTGTCAGGTCAAACTTTTGCTATGTTGTGTAGCAAGTTTGAGCTGATACTGATGAAGCTTGGGACTTTTAACAAATTTATAAAGTTGCTCTGAAATTGGGCCAAAGTCCCTGTACTATAGTACATGGTCTCGGGCCAAATTTTGCCAAAATTGAAAAGGAGAAAATTCTTCATTTTTATAATTTTATCTGATGCATATACATGTACTTATGTTGTGTAGAAAGTTTGAACTGATTCCGATCAAAATTGGATTTTTTTACGAATTTTTAAAGTTGCTCCAAAATCAGGCCAAAGTCCCTGTACTATAGTACATGGTCTCGGGTCAAATTTTTCCAAAATTGAAAGGAGAAAATTCTTTATTTTTATAATTTTAGCTGATGCATATAGATGTTCTTATGTTGTGTAGAAAGTTTGAACTGATTCCGATTAAAATTGGATTTTTTATGAATTTTTTAAGTTGCTCCAAAATCGTGTTAAAGTCCCTGTACTATATAGTACAGGGTACTTGGCCAAATTTCGCCAAAATTGAAAAGAAAAAATTCTCCATTTTCATAATTCTATCCAATACATATACATGTACTTATGCTATATAGCAAGTTTGAACTGATTCCGATCAAAACAAAACAAAAAACTCACTCTTACCTTCCTGTGAATAGTTAAATACAGTTAACATGTCCTGCTTCATTTTTCCCATTTCTTTCCTCATCTCGTCTTTGGATGGGGAGGAATAGCCCCAATCATCGCCACCAATGTAACTCAACATTTTAACCTAATTAATAATTTTAAAAATATTAATTAACGTAGTAATTAATTATTTTACTTAGGCTTAATTAATTGATCACACCCACTAATTAATAATTAAAATTAAACCCTTTTATTTTTAGATCGTACTTTAATGTACGACAATATCCCGGTGTTTTCGGCTTCCTCCTTTTTACGTTTCTTAACGATCCTCTCGTACTGCTCTGGGTTATTGTCCATGAACTGGAGCAACTGCTTAAGAGATTCCTGTGTATAATCAGAGGTTTCTTCCTCGTATTCTTCCTCAGTAAGTCTCCTGGTACAATATCTAGACTTCAAAGGCGTTGCCTCGTCGTATTCGCCCATGATTCCAGCCATTTTTTCCTCTTGAAAATTTCGCGGGAATGGCGCCTGAGCTCATTAAGTTATTAAAACCACGCCTATGATTAGTAAGTTTAAGATGGTCACGTGAGTGGCTTGCTGCATCACGTGACCGTCACGCATTTCATGCAGGGACATTCATTGTGTCCGAGTCCTTTGGCGCTCTTCTCTCGTATAAAAGTCAGGAGCTCTCTCTCCTTCTTCAAATTTGAATTGTGTGAAAGGTGAAGCTGTCTGGCACCACTCAAACTCTCTATTTTTTTCTCGTGATTTCAATCTCGCTGACCCGTGGTATCATCTTTCTCTGTCGTCAGAGGAAGGCATTTTAACGTCACTACTTCACAGAAAACTCTCTCGTTTCTTTTGATAGTCCTTTATTTATTATTACTGGGAACTGCAGTAGCTCATTGATATTTGTTTAAATAGGACCCTGTACTTTGTTACTAGCCGAATCTCAAAGCCTCAATTTTTGCTTTTTTCAAAATTTCTTCGTCCATTCACTCCGCCTCAAATCAAGCCACAAACTTAAAGAAAGACTCATTTTATATTTTTTCGGAAGACGATAAACATGGCCGCTCATTGTTAAGACCAGCATGTATCAAGGAGCTACGATATTTGGAACCAGCAGAAACCTGCTTGTTACAAAACTCACTCTCATTTCAGGATTTTCGGCAATTACAGAAAACCCCGCCCACTGCAAGACAGAGCATGTCTTCACGTTGGGAGAGGACTCAGGAGACTCAAACGAGTCAACAGTTGCAGCTGTCGACTGGTTGCATGTCACCCTCGGGAGGAAAACATGTCAGCAAACAAAGTAAGGAAAGGGAGAGAGAGTGTGTTATATGTGTACATGTACATTATGTTCATGGTCATTGTAAAACTTTTAAGTTCATCTTGTAATAGATGCAGATACAATTTTGTTGTGTCTTCAAAGCACAAGGTTGCATGAGACTAATGCTAGTTTGATTTTATGCTGTAACACAATGAGTGTACATGTACATGTACATGTAATTACATAGATATATTTCTACATGTACATGTAGTTTTAAATTAACGTACACTAGAAATAAAATCAATAATAAATAATAATGATTATTAATATTACATTGGGCATTAATTTGTAGGAGCTAAGGCTAGGGTATGGGATGATAGGGGCCACCCTCCTCTCTCTTCATTCTCAGTCAACAATGGCCCCTTGCATAAAGGGAGCAGACAGAAGAACAAGCATACCAACAGGACAGGTGGTAGTGGAGGAGGAGGGGATAGTAGACCGTCTAATCAGAGAAGACCACAGCTGTCAAGGGATTATGGTGACGATGTTACCGGATTAGAGAAAGAGGTAAAGATTAAGAAAGAGTCTGTGATACATCAGTACATGTAATACATTCTCTACTTATTATTATAAGCATTCAAAGAAATAAAATTTTACGTCTTGACATGTAACTTTTTTGGGCCTTGTGTAATACATGTACAATTGTAGTTGTATGTAATTGATGAATAGGAATAACTGCCTTTTTTGTTTTGAAAATAAGCAAATATAACATTAATAAGAGAGAGAGAGAGAGGTGTGACTGTATTTGACACCCTAACACTGTTAACGGATCAACTGATCGTGTGAAATTAAGATGCTCTAATTGTTTACTCCTCAATAGACTCATGAATATGATTAAGTGATGCCTGGGACAACTTTAAATACAATTAATTGTTAAGAATGTATGCTCGTGAATATCATTATGTAGCACAAATGGGTGTGGTAGCCTATGAATATTTAATTATAATTCTTCACATGTTGTGAGCATGCATTCTTTTTTCTCATGGACAGATTTCACTGGGTGGCGACAGGAAAAAGTCTAGCCCCATTTCGCTGAATCATTTATTGAATTTCACACTAACACCGAGAGAAAGGGGTGTGGCTGGGGGTGGGGACTATTCCGTAGATACTCACGGTCGAGGGAGGCACAGGAGACCGTCTCATTATAATAAAGAACAATTCTTGCAAGCAAAGTAAGGGAAGACTTTTGTTGCTCTTTTTTTATGTATTCTGATTTCTCTTCTCTCCCTCTTTCCCCCTCTCTCTCTCTTCCCCCCTCTCTCTCTTCCCCCTCTCTCTCTCTCTTCCCCCCCTCTCTCTCTCTCTCTCTAGCTGTCAGTTTATAGTTAGAGAGGATACAGTTGACTACAGTCTGTATACTTATGATCCTGATCTACTTGTTGAATGGGACACCATTGAACAAGTGGTAAGAATGACAGCACTATTAATGCCATACCTACATGTATATACATGTACACCTGTTCATACATGTACATGTACATATTGATTTTAGTGTACATGTGTAATATGCACATACATTACTACATTACTGTGTTATTATTATTATCATTGATTACTGTATGATTGCTATATCTCCTTATATGTGTTGTAGAGGCTCTTTTGTTCTGACATACCATCATGTCCTATCTGTCTCCATCCTCCCACTGCTGGTAAGTCTTAATACATAACGTCTTCTTCATTTTATTTCTTCTCTCTTCTCCTTTAGCTAAGATGACTCGCTGTGGACATGTCTATTGCTTCCCTTGCATACTCCATTATCTATCACTGGTAATAATTGTAATCTAGCTGTTTTGTTTTATTTTATTTATCTATTTGTTTTTTAATATTTTCGTAGAGTGAGAAGAAATGGAAGAAGTGTCCAATTTGTTACGAATCAATTTACAAAAAAGATTTAAAGAGGTTAGTTTTGTATATGCAATTATATGGTGGAGTTGAACTTCCTCTACCTTCCTCGCTCTTTCTTTCCCTCTCTCTCTTCCTCTCTCTCCCTTAGTGTCTCCACACTGTCTAACAAAGTGTATAAAGATGGTGATAATATTACCATGAAACTAATGATGAGACATCAAGTAAGCTGGTCTTCATTAATTATTATTAATTACTACATCATTAACAATACCGTTATCATTAGGACAGCATTGTTGCATTGCCTAGGGCAGTATGGACAGAAGAAAGAGCTGGGCAGCTTTCTTCTATAAGCAGTAACTTTATATCAGCAATTTTATGTATTTTATTTTATTTTTGATTATTTTTTAGGCTCAGGTGACGCATGCGCATTTTCAAAGATATTATCGGCTAATGAAGACGACATACGTTCACTCATTATTAATGCAGAGAAATCAGTGCTAACGCAACAATTGAAACAATTGACGCCTGATGAAGTGAGAATACAACTGTGTAATTCATCTTTTATTGTCTGTGTCCTGTAGGAGTCTGAAAGGTGCTTCATTGAAATGGCGCTTGAAGATTTATCAACTCGTGAGTCCGCTCTTACTGGGAAAACTCAATTAGAAGGTACTACATGTACAGATAATCACTACAAGACATGTACAGTGTAGCCTCTTTATTAAGGACACCATTGGGCCCACACTACCTGTCCTTAATACATGTACAGTGTAGCCTCTTTATTAAGGACACCATTGGGCCCACACTACCTGTCCTTAATACATGTACAGTGTAGCCTCTTTATTAAGGACACCATTGGGCCCACACTACCTGTCCTTAATACATGTACAGTGTAGCCTCTTTATTAAGGACACCATTGGACCCACACTACCTGTCCTTAATACATGTACAGTGTAGCCTCTTTATTAAGGACACCATTGGGCCCACACTACCTGTCCTTAATACATGTACAGTGTAGCCTCTTTATTAAGGACACCATTGGGTCCACACTACCTGTCCTTAATACATGTACAGTGTAGCCTCTTTATTAAGGACACCATTGGGCCCACACTACCTGTCCTTAATACATGTACAGTGTAGCCTCTTTATTAAGGACACCATTGGGTCCACACTACCTGTCCTTAATACATGTACAGTGTAGCCTCTTTATTAAGGACACCATTGGGCCCACACTACCTGTCCTTAATACATGTACAGTGTAGCCTCTTTATTAAAGACACCATTGGGCCCACACTACCTGTCCTTAATACATGTACAGTGTAGTCTTTTTATTAAGGACACCATTGGGCCCACACTACCTGTCCTTAATACATGTACAGTGTAGCCTCTTTATTAAGGACACCATTGGCCCCACACTACCTGTCCCTAATACATGTACAGTGTAGCCTCTTTATTAAAGACACCATTGGGCCCACACTACCTGTCCTTAATACATGTACAGTGTAGTCTTTTTATTAAGGACACCATTGGGCCCACACTACCTGTCCTTAATACAAGTGTCCTCATTATAAAAGTGTCCTCATTATAGAGGCCATTGTACCTGCACTTTCTTTCCCATGTCCATCCATTTGCTGCTGGTGTTCATGGTTGTTCCTAGTGCTACATCAACATAATGACCGAGTTTATTAATTATTACTCTCCGTTAATAATTAATATGCTCCACCCACTGACATGCCCACCCATTACATGATATAAAATTATATATTTTTGCTTTTTTAGAATCCCACACTAGTACTACTGATAGTGAAAGTGCCATACCCATTTCAAAACCGACCACACCCCCTGATACTAGTAGTCTTGAAGGTGCCTCAGAGAGCAAGGTACTTGTATCCGTGTACATTTTTATAATTTAAAAAATTGTTAACTTTTCAGGAAGGGTCACCTCCTGGTTCTAACACGTCGCCTGCTGGTGCAGTGTCAGCAAATTTATCGGAAGATGACGAAGAAGAAAGGTTAGAGGGAAGGAGGAGGAAAATTAATGTCATAATTATTTTTGTCTAGTTCTTACTCAATTTCTCGTTACAATACATCCGATTTCATTTATTTCTATCAATGTGAGCTTAGTGAGATCTACACTATACAGTAAATGTTTTATTTTTAACTTTTTTTGCAGCTGCTGATGGCCAACAGCTCTATCTTCATTCAATCAACACCAAATGTATTTTAAAGGTATGATTATTTTTATCTTCAATTTTCATCCTTTCTCTCTCACTCTCTTTATTAGGAGTATGGCGGTTGGCAGTTTTGTCCTGATGTTATTACTGCTAGGATTGTTGAAGCAGAAAACTGCACAATGAATGAAGTACTTAACATCATCATTATTTTGACTATTATTATTATTATTATTATTATCATTATTATTATTATTGTTATTATTATTTTAGGTTGAGAGAGGTCATTACAGATATTTGTCACACTTGCCTTTAAGCACACAATTCAGTTTGTGTGAATTAGAACTCAGGGAACCTCTCGTCTCTTTGGCTACGTTGCAGGTTTTTGCTGGTGAGTGTAACCTGGTTTTTATTATTATTATCGGAAAATTTACTTTTTATATTGAAAAGATAAAATCCAAAAACGAAAGACTAGAAGACAGAGAAAGAAAAGAGAGGAGAAGAGAAGAGAGAAGAAGATAGAAAGGGAGAATGTTCACTGTAAGATGAAGTAATTATTATTTTTACTTTTTGTGATTTTTGTCCTCAGTATCTGTGGATTTACCATCTAATCCAGTCGATATATCTCCTGAAACATTCCACCATTTTCTTTCAATGGCGTCTTCGCCTCCTCTTCCGTCTCTAATGAAACCACACCCACAACCTTTGTCCAGTAGTAGCATACCTTCACCATCTCTCTCTGTACCATCAAGTTCTCCTTCTTTTGCTCAAGCACTTGCTTGGGGAGACAGGAGAAGCAAACTGGTTCAGAATTTATCTTCGCCAACTTTTCTCACCCAAAATGGTTATCTAAGTATTGTGTATAGTTTCTTTATTTTTGTCTATTTTTAGAAAGTGGAAAAACTAGTGGTGGGCAACAAATAGGAGAAGATGATGACACTTCTGATTGTGTCCCTTCGTTTCAAAACTCGTTTTCTGATGCTTTGTTAAATGCTTCACAGTCGGTTCGTGCAGCTACAAGAGGTCAGTTAAGAGATAGACTTTAAGGAATTAATTCCTATTTTCTTCTTTACTTTTCCCTCTTCAGATCCTGGTGGGAAGCCAGGCGGAAGTAAAACCGCCAAAAAAGCTTGCAAGAAATTGGTTCTCTTCTCTACTGGTGGCCAGCGTAGATTATAATTATTATCATTTCGATTTTTATTGTACATTTTAGTTGTTAGCTATAGCTTTTAGCTCTCAATCATTACATGTGATGTCATCATATTTTAGTTTTTTCTTTCATAATCTTCACAAACTCTCTCCTTTCTCTCTCTTTTTCTGACCGTGTGATGGATCTAAAGCTTAATAGTTTAACTTTAAATGGCAATTGATGCATAGTAACTATTATTCTCATTATTATTATTAAAATTCATTTTAGTCATCTCATTATTAAATAAAGGACTTTATTATTATTATTAGATCTATTTATTGTAATTCAGAAATAATTTTTATTAAATAAAGCAATAATAATTTTGGCAAATTTTGAAAAAACGTGACTCCAAAATCACCCTAAATTTTTATACCATTTTCTGATGCATATTGATGTCCTTATGCTGTGTAGCAAATTTTGAGCTGATTCCGACTAAAATTTTTTAAGTTACGGCCATTTTAAGAAAATGCCAAAGTTCTCAAAAATACCCTGTACTATAGCCCATGTTTTTTTTTCCAAAAATGGCTCCGAAATCAATTCAAATTTTTATTACATTTTCTGATGCATATTGATGTCCTTATGCTGTGTAGCAAGTTTGAGCTGATTCCGACTAAAATTTTTCAAGTTACGGCCATTTTAAGAAAATGCCAAAATTCTGAAAAATATCCAAGGCTATAGCCCATGGTTTTTTCCAAAAAATGGCTCCGAAATTACCCCAAATTTTTATTACATTTTCTGATACATAATTTATTGATGTCCTTATGCTGTGTAGAAAGTTTGAGCTGATTCTGACTTCAATTTTTCAAGTTATGGCCATTTTAAGAAAACGTCAAAATTTTGAAAAATACCCAAGGCTATAGCCCATAGTTTTTACAAAAAATGGCTCCGAAATCACCCCAAATTTTTATTACATTTTCTGATACATATTGATGTCCTTGTGCTGTGTAGCAAGTATGAGCCAATTCTAACTAAATTTTATAAAGTTATGGTCATTTTATCGAACAGTTGACAAGTAGCAATTCCAATGATAAAACATGACATGATTATAATATAAGTGCATTAATACAGTTTCCACAAGCTGACTCTCCTATCTTTAGACCCACTGATCATTAGATTGCTGTAATGAGCCAGTGAGGAACTGGTAAATGCTATTGATTGCATTGTTCCAGAATGATAGTCCAGTACTGCTAGTGGCTTCCCTTTCTTGCAGCCAAAGACTCTTATCCTATGAAGATAGAGCATCTCAAATCTTTCATTAACCACCATCTATAATCTTTTAGCTTTACTATTTATTATTATTATTTTTTAAATTCATGGTAGAATTACTGAATGGTAGAACAAATATATACCTGTAATCCCATCCTCCAGATGCCATTATACGGCCATCACCTCTAATGGCTACCGAAGCAACTCCACTATTCCTAATCTCAGTACTGTACTTCTTCTCCACTAAACACTGATAATGGATAATGATTCAGCTTTTACACAGCATGTTCATATATATATATACTTGCTGTGTAAAGTTAAATGTCTCTAGTGTTTTTAGAGGTGATCCAGCAACCCCATGATTGCTGTCAATATGATAATCCAGACACATCACTATGCATAATAAGTACATACACCAGTCAATATTATCCAGTTCTTTATAATGTACCTGATTCTGTGAAGAGTTTAACAATACTTAGTTCTCTATCAGGTCTTCTACCATCCCACACTACTAAACTACCATCTTCACATCCTCCAAGGACTAGCTGATCCTTTCCACATCTTAGGCACATGATCATCCCTTAACAAATAACTATATATACCAACCATGGTATTATAAAACAAACCTCTTGATTTTGGTTCTTCTACTTTTAGATTTGACAGGATCTTTCCATCCAAAGTATTACAAACATTAACCTGTAGGTGTAACAAGCCTTCTTAATTTATCATCATCATCATCATCATTATTATTATAACCTGTCCATATTCTCTATCAGCTACAGCAAAGCTGTTTCCATTCCAGCCTACTCATCATTAAAATAAAATACAAAATGGAAGATGTCTATGTACTTAATGGAATCAAGTTGCAAAAACCAGGATCTGGAACTTTGAACGAGATCTTTTCTTTTTCGGTTTCAACATCCCAAAGTCTAACACTTCCTTGTCTACAGAGACTGAAAAAATTACAGTTTTATTGCTTTGAATTTCTCCGGCTAATATCATTACGAAATTAAATCTTGTGGTTTTGCATCCAAAGAAGAAACTGCTTGAAATGTAAGTACACTTTGATCACAGGAATGCGTCCAAAACTCTCTCTTTGTTTCAATATCCCACAAACTTATGGATCCAGTAGATGTACTACAGTAATTTTAACAAAAAATTATGGAACTGGAAAATTTTTTCTGGCTTTAAGATTCAATTTTTATATATTTTCTGACTTTAAAATTTACCCAATCAGGACTGATTCTTTCAAGTCAATGGTTGCATGCCGTACTGATGTTATTTCTCCTGCTCTTGGACGGAGAGTAAAGACTGGAGAAGGAGGAGAAGGAGAAGAAGGAGAAGTAGGTTCTGCACTCATTAATTAATAGGTGGAGCTCTTACCAAACTATGAATATGATTATTGATTATGCATGGTGTGAGCTCAGAGCATATGGTGGTCTCATCCTCAGGTTATATTGTTGACAAGGATCTGTAGCTATGCTCTATTTGAGTTTAATAGCAGCTATATTGTCCTCAGCTCTCATTTCTATTGCTGTATATTTAAGATCTACACGTTGGCAAGCAAAAAAGGTACTAAGCAGCTCTTTGCACTTGTAAATATTCATGATTTTAGGCACCAAATCACATTATAAGCTTTGATGGCAGCTTCAGCGAGACTACAGAGGTTGTCATAGTCGGAGCAGGGATCCTTGGCTCTTCCTTGGCTGCAGTGTTAGCTAGAGATGGTAGGAAAGTGTGCCTCATTGAAAGAGACATGTCAGAACCTGATAGAATTGTAGGAGAACTACTACAACCTGGTGGTTTTCATGCTTTAAAGAAACTAGGACTGGAGGGTGAGTATGATATACACTAGAATGAACATCACAACATGTATTAAATGATCATTACTCTGCTCTTATTAAATTAAATCATTATTCTGCTCTTATTAAATCTATAGGCTCTCTTGAAGGCACAGACTGTCATACTGTCTTTGGCTATGTCGTTCATGATTGTAATTCGAATACTTCTGTTGCCCTCAGCTATCCTGTTAACATTGCTACTGGAGAGATTGAGACTGGGAAGTCATTTCATCATGGCCGGTTTGTGTCTGGTCTGAGGAAACAAGCAATCGAAGAACCAAAGTATATATCATCAATAATTTTTATCTTTAAATTTTAACTTGATCCTCCAATTCTTGCAGTGTTAGCATCATTGAAGGAACAGCTCAGTATCTAATTGAAGATGATAGCAATGCCATTGTGGGTGTTCAGTACAAAGAAAAAGATGGCGAAAAGATAAAAGTACAATAATATTGTCTGGTAAAATTATTTTAAATTCTTCTACAGACTATAAAGGCCGATTTGACCTTTATTGCTGATGGATGCTTCTCAAAGTTTCGTAAAGACCTTGTTTCATCATCGGTGACAGTTGCTTCTAATTTTGTTGGGGTTATAATGCATAATGTGCCTCAATACAAAAAAGGCCATGCTGAGATTGTTTTAAGCAATGTAGGAGGGCCCATTCTCATCTATCAAATATCAAGCACTTGTACTAGGGTATTGGTTGATGTGCCAAGTAAAGTTCCATCAGATCTGAAGGAGTACATGATTTCAATCATTGCTCCACAGTTGCCAGGTATGATATACAGCAATTTATTTTTATTTATGAAATTCAAAGATCATATTCGTGGGCCATTCTTGAAAAGCGTCAAAGAGCAAAGGCTACGGACGATGCCTAATAGTTTTTTACCACCAAAAGCAATCTACAAACCAGGTATGTGTGTGCAATGTACTATAGCACATTTAGTTTCTGGATTGTATAGGTGTACTTATACTTGGGGATGCTTTCAACATGCGCCATCCATTAACTGGTGCTGGCATGAGCGTTGCTTTGAATGATATAGTACTGCTTAGACAAGTTCTTCAAGATATGCCTAGCCTCAATGAGCAGTTAGCTACTGAACATTATAATTATAATAATTATGCTTTTTATGTTGTATTTCTAGTTATATCCTGCAAAGGGTTTATGAGCGTTTTCTTTGGAAAAGAAAGAATTCGCATTCATTTGTTATTAACATCTTAGCACAGGCCCTGTATGCTGTATTTTCATCTCATGAAGGTTTGTGTGCATAATAAATTCACTATGTAGAATGTCCAATCACATTAGGATGTATGAATGAAATGAGACAGGCTTGTTTTGAATACTTTAAACTAGGTGGAATGGCACTTTCTGGGCCTGTAGGACTACTATCAGTGTAAGAATGTAGCTATTATTTTTTCTTTAAATGTTATTTCTTTTTGTGTAGTTTACATCCATCTCCAGTTGTGCTGGTGGGTCATTTCTTTGCAGTTGCTTTCTATGCAATTTATCGCGAGGCAAAGAAAGGTTTAGCATCACTCAGGCCCGATAAAGCAGTTTTTAATTCTTTTATGATTTTTTACGGGGCTTGCAAAATAATGTTTCCATTGTTGGCCTCAGAATTGGAATTCCTATGGAGGAAAAGATGACTTTTTATAAACAATACAATTTTTATTGATGTCTATTTATGAATATTATTATAACTATGGCAACTGCATGTTCAAAATACAAACACATGCCCCCAAAAAGATGGAGGGAAGTATCAAGCTACTTGAGGCAAACCGAGTCCTTTCTCCAGTGAGATGCAGTAGTAAGCCTCTACCACCCATTGCCCTGGAGACCGATAATACTGATGGCATGTCGAAAGGGAGTAGCCATATGTTCCTTGAGCAGAGCAAAGTTGAAGTGGAGGAGTCAATGAAACATTTGCTAACAGAAGTATGTATAATATGAGGTGGTAATCACAGTCAATGAGCAGTTTATGTGTATAAATCCAATACTGTATGGGTAAAAAATTTTGTGAAGGATTAAGTTTTACATTTTTGCTGTCTGCAATAATTATTCATCTTAATGGCTTTAATTTCCCCAGAATTGTGTAAATTTAACACCATTGTATCCATATACCGTATTAGGCTCAGACTGTAGAGGCAAAGATACACAGAGGGATTGAAGTGCTATGGCAGAGAAGTAAATTTAATATTGCAGCTCATTATTGAATTTTATCATGACTATAATAGTGCAGGATCTCTTGGAGCATAAAAGTCAAGAAATGCAACAACAAGTGACATCTTTGAAGGAAGAACTGAGCGAGAGTGAGGGAAAACTCTCACGATTGAGTGCACAAGAGGCAGCCCTAGTGCAGCAGAGTGCAAAAGCAAGCACACAACTGACAAAAGAGGAGAGGAAGAGGTATTATTGCAATATGATGTTTGCAATCAAGTTTCTTTATAGAAAAGATTTAGAGCAGAGTATTAGTGGATTGCAAGCAAAGCTTGATGCAAGTCAGAAGGAGCTTAATGCTCTGACGTTGCATTTCAAAGACAGAGAGAAAGCACAGAAAGAAGAGGTTCAAAAACTCCAATCACAGCTGGAAGAGAAGACCAGTGCATTGAAAGATTATCAAATGAAGGTACAGCAGTAATCTTCAGTTTGTAATTGTATGTGCATGCATACTCATAGATCAAGCAATTAACTGAAAAGATGAATTTGCTGACTAAAGACTTAACTCACGAAAAATCAAGCTCAGAAAAACAGCACAGGAATACGTCTGATCAATTGGCACAGCAGACATCAGAAAACAGGAAACTAATGCTAGAAATATCAAAATTAAAAGTAGAGAATTATATTTGAATTAAACTTATTAATAGAACTATGCATATAATTAGGGAACTTTGGCATCTACTGTATCTTCGCTGACGGCTTGCAAAGAAGAAAAAAAGAAACTTGAACAGGCTCTCCATTTACAGGAACAAGATCATGAAATTACAATTGGTAGAATGAATAAGAAACATGCATCTGTGACAAAAGAGCTTGAAGAACAGGTTATAGTATTTTAAAAATTGTATTGCAATAGTAAGCGTTAATTTTTTATAGATAGCAGCTCTAAAGAAAGAGCTGGAGCTATTGAACAAGCAATACGCAATAGATGCTGGTGAAATAAAAGCACAATAACCACATGATTGATTAAATATGTCTTTGTAGAATTTTATAAGCAGCAGTTAATGGAAAATGAAAAGGAATTAGCAACTTTGAGAGCGCTAGCTAAAAATAGCAACAGTGATAGTTATCTTGAAGCACGAATACAATTTTTAAGGCACCAGGTAAGTACAAAAATCCCAAAAGTCATAAATGAATATTATTGTCTTTTTAGAACTTGCAGGAAATTAAACTACAGCAAGACAGAAAAAGCAATAGAAAATGATAATTTATTATTTACGAAAATCAAATTTTATAACTTCATAACTTTTAATAAATAAACCACGCCTGTGTGGGCGTGGTCAACCCACGTGTCATGTCTAAGAGGTACAGAAAACTCGACATTCTAGGAGAAGGACAATTTGCTACTGTATACAGAGCAGAAGACACTGAACGAGATAATGCAATAGTAGCCGTGAAGAAGATAAAGATAGGACAGAGAAGAGAAGCGAGGGATGGCATAAACAGGACAGCACTAAGAGAAATCAAACTATTACAAGTATATACTTGTTTTTTTCATTGCCAGTTCCTCCTCCTTATTTCATTTTAGGAGTTACACCATCCTCATATCTTAGGCTTACTGGACGTGCTGGGTCACAAGTCCAATATAAGTCTAATATTTGATTTTATGGACACTGATCTTGAGATGATCATCAAAGACAAGTCTCTTCTTCTTCCTCCAGGGGTTGTTAAAGCTTACAGTCTCATGATACTTCAAGTTAGCGACGCTAATATTAAGGATTGAGAGAATAGTAAATTAAATTACAATTTGTGATCTAAGGGTATCATCATAATGCTAAAAAACCTTGTACTATAGTACAGAGAGTTTCACCAAATTTCGTCAAAAATGAAAAGGAAAGAATTTTCTATTTTTATAATTTCTTCTGATACAAATACATGTTCTTATGTTGTGTAGAAAGTTTGAGCCGACTCTGATCAAGGTGTAATAAGCATGATGTAAATATTAATACTAATGTCTTTGTAAGTTTATCAACTCCAATCTTTATCTCTTTAGGGATTAGAATATCTCCATGCTCACTGGATACTGCACAGAGACTTAAAACCAAACAATCTACTAATCAATAAAGACGGGGTCTTAAAGATAACTGATTTCGGTCTTGCCAAAGCCTATGGCAGCCCAAACAGAATCATGACCCACCAGGTGGTGACCAGGTGGTACCGGAGCCCCGAGCTATTGTTTGGTGCTAGACTATACAGCACTGGAGTTGACCTTTGGGCAGTCGGCTGCATCATTGCTGAAATGTTGCTTCGTTTGCCTTTTCTCCCTGGAGAGACTGACCTCGGACAATTGAGTACAATATTTGAGTTTTTTGGGAGCCCGAACGAAGAGAATTGGCCCAGTGTGAAATCCTTGCCGGATTATGTTGAGTTTAAGCCGTCTCCTCCACAGTCCTTTAGGGATGTGTTTTCAGCAGCTGGAGATGATCTCATTCACTTATTAGAGTCTTGTATGAAGCTGGATCCATCCAAAAGGTATACCGTATAACTCCAAATTTTTGTCAAATTTGTCAGGTATTTTTGCCTGACAAAATTTTTAACTGACAAAATTTTTTTTCCACGTGGGTAGTATGCGGATTAATAACGAAAAAATTAATTTTAACAAGAAATTAAAATTTTGACAAAATTTTTACTGACGAAAATTTAGAGCTATACAGTAACTGAATGTATAGTTACTATGATCAAGGGGCAAGGATCCCTTGGATTTGCTATAATGATAATGAAATCACATTAAAAATATATTTGAAAAAATTAAGAATTATTTTATGTACATATATAGGTGTACAGCGTCTCAAGCTCTCCAAAGCAGTTACTTCAGTAATCCGCCCGGTCCCACTCCAGGTCCTAGACTACCAATGCCACGCTCTAGGAAGGAGATTGAGGCTGATATTGAGCATGAAATAATGGCGTCAAGGAAGAGGGCTCTTGATGACAGTCAGGAGGGACAGAAAGTGGCAAAAAGACTTAATTTTTAATTCACATACATACAACTTTAAAAAAATTATTATAATAACAGGACAGAATTAATATCTACTCTTTAGTCAGAATGAAGTGCAGCAATAATTAATGCAAATGAATCATTGTTCCACCTGCTCCAGTATTATATAATCTTCTTGGGATTTAAAATATAGGAACTTTCTCATCTTTTAATTTATCGCATACTCTAAATAAATGTACAAGAGATGGATGGGTGATGACAATGTGTCACTAAAATGTACTTTGTTATTATTTCTCTTAATTCTTTCTCTGCCGTCTTTCTCTTGTTACCACTAAGACCCCTTAGACTTTCCCTACAAACCAACAATACTTCCATTACATGTTAAGTGTAGCTCTCGCTCACTTGACATTTGATTCCATTATTTCTCTAAAAGTAAAGATTGTCGATGACGAAATCGGCTTCCACGATTTGATTGAAACAGGCTCCGGCAAAATAACTGGTTCTGCCCAAACTTCTTCATCAAACGACTCATCAGTATCATAGACATTTTCCTTTTCTGACCCAGGGGTATCATTTTTTGAAGACTTGGTGGGCTGGGCCCCAGGTGCTGATGATTGTTCATTTATAGCTATGGGTCTCCTCTCTTGAATTGAATTTGAAATCTCTTTTCCTGAAGAAGCCCCTGCACTGGATCTCTTTACTTTCCTCCTCTTTGACCAGGATTCGTATGTTATCACCTTTCTTTTTTTCCTCTTGGGTGGCATTTTCAATTAAAATAAATTATTAATTTTAATAATAAAATTTTAATAAAATGGCGTCAGAAATGAAAGAAGAGACACCTTCCACCTCAGGATCTTCTGACGATTCCCCTTATATATCAAGTATCCCACCTGATAGACGGAAGCAATACGAAAAAATGAGATGCTATGAATTTATATTCGCAACAAAGCAATGCTTGTGTGAGTCTTGTAAAAGAATAGACTAGTAGATCTATTATGATATTATTTATATAATTTTTTTCCTCACAAATTGATAGCTTCTTTCCACCAGTTTCACAAATATTATATTTACGGTCAATTTGATGATTGTGCCATTGAAAAGCAGAGAGTGAAGGATTGCTTTAAATGGAGAACGAGCAAGTCAATGGAAGCCAAAGTGAGAATTTATTTATAATAATAATAATAATAATTATTATTATTATTAATTACTTTCACTGCTACGTAGGAGAATCTTTTTAAAAGTTTAGAGGCCGAGCAGACGAATATGCACACGCCTGATCCGGTATGGAAGTATCGAGAAAAACCACCGGAAGACTGGTGAAAGAAATATGTTATCATTATCACACATGAAACAGAAAAAAAACAGAAAATAATATTCACACTGTACAGAATCTGTGCTCAATAAATAATTTGATGATAATAATAATAATAATAGTTTGGTGCTATGTTTTTTGATCAATTCTACCAAGCGGCGCTCCTATTTTAACGCTCTCTCCTCTTTGGACGGCAAATTTGAAGTCCTTTGGTCCTTCAAACACAAGTACGATTGAAGATCCCATGTTGAAATGACCAAGATGATAACCTTTAGTAGCCTGGAGACTCTCTCCGACTTCTTTGTAGCTGATCACTTTATCAGTATAAGAACCAAATTTATATCCACCTTTACGATTTGTCCGTAAATCCTAAAGCAAAAAATTATTTTATTAAATTAATAATCAACTTAATTATTTTCATAGCTACCTTGTGCATTGATAAGTGAATGGAGCCCACATTATAGGCGCCGACAGCTGCAAATGAGAAGAATCCACTCCTCCATTTTCCAGCGAGTATAACCCTCTCATTAAGAGCAAATAGACCAGGCATAGTCTTAGCAGCCCAAGGAGCAACGGTGAGTAACTCCCCTAAAAATAAAAAAATTAAATTAAAATAAAATTAATCATAAAAATAAATATTAAATAGTTAATTTACCAGGAATGTGTCTGGCAATATTTAGTGACCAATCCGTCGGCGAGTAGAAGTGATGATTGTCCCCTGGTCCAAGATATATTACAACATGATAGAGCTCAGACCCCTTGTGGGGTAATTTTGAATCTATGGGGTCTGGAGTAGAAGTCCTTTCTAATAATCCCGGTCCCAGGAATGCTGAGAGTGAGTAGTGGACGCCTTTCACTTGCTCAATGAGTTCATTGTCTTTGTTTACTTTACCAAAATGGAGGACTTTTCCGTCACATGGACACACCTACACATACAAGAAAACAACATACCAACTGCTGTTTATAGTATGGCATCATGACAGTACAGGAAATATTTTTAGTTGCTAATGCATTAAACTATTATGATAGCAGCAGCTGGCGACCATCACACTCAATTCAAAAACATTACACTTAAATTAGCTAATCACCAGTAGTACTGGGTGAAGCCCCATTAGTGAAAAGTACATTATAGTTGTGAAGTGATATCCACCCACTAGTCATAAAAAAGAAAGCCCCATTAATGAAATGAATTAACATGCACATCCATTTATGATTAGGATAAAATATGATTTACATGCACACATACATAATGTTAATTATTACTGCATTATAACTTACCAGCTCATGTTTTTCATCAAAGCTCCTGCTACCTTCTTTGAGATTACGCGTAAACAAATCAGAGAAGCTCTCGTAGTCCTTGAAATCCCCTCGATCACTCTCCTCCAGGTTACAGTGAAACACTTGAGAATAAAGGCCTAGTAGTGGAGCCCGGCTCCATACCGGGAGCCTAAGGTTCATTAAAGAACCCCACCATCTTGATAAAGGTCTTGTAGGCAACATTAGAAAACCAGCAAGCTGAGGAAAAAAAGATATAAATATCATAATAGCTGGTAATTTTTAAGGAGCAAATTTGAGATCTATTCAGAGTCATTCAAGTCAGCCATTATGTAGCCACATGACCAAACTAAAACTTGCTAATCATCACTATTACACATAGCTACTCCAAAACCACCCGATTATCATAGTATTTTAATTCATGATGTTGTAAAAAAAAGGACAGACACACTACATTAGTTACCTGCCATGTGACGGGTTGTGGTGACACCCATCTTTCCCCTTTCTCTCGCCCTAGAACTCGATACAGTTGTAATATTCCAATGCAAGCCACGCCTAAGGTAACTGGTATGCCAAACCAGGTGGACCTTCTCCTCAAGCTACTAGACTTAGTGGAGTATTGGCAGCCAGGCTGTGTCTGCTTTAAACGGGACCAAATGCCAGAGAAGACGAATCTGTGCAACATGTTGACACTTGGCTGGTCTGTTATGCAAGCGTTACTGTGGGCGTGGTTCAAATTATTAGTGGGTGTGGCTGTAATTAATTATCTAATTAATAATGTAATTAATTAATCATTGACAATGCTTTTCTTTTTTTGCTGTTCTTTGTGGGCAGTGTTACTCTTTCAAGTTTACTTTTTCTAAAACAATAACTAAAATCTAAAACGACTACTTTACAGCAAACCCTAGAGGATTAAAACAGTCTTAAATACACAAAAAAGATCCTAAAGGTCAAATGCAGTCAGTTATGCTGTTTGGAGATCAGTCAGATGAAGACTCTTAATAGGTGTACTTGGACACGTGAAGATCCTTGCCAGCTGCACCAGAGGAGTCCTCTCCCTCGTACTTACCAAGAGCAGCAAGACCGTTGCAGCGTGCACGATGAAGAAAAACACTTTGGGCCTCTTTCACATTCTCAGCCTTTCCCTTCCAAGCCTGAAGGACGCTCGCCTGCAGGGCACGACCATAGGAGAACGTAAGGGCCCAAGGCTTAGTAGCTTTGTAAGCATTGATAGCATTCAAATGAGTTGTGGCAACAATCTCGGACTGACCCCCGGAGAGGAACGTGACACCAGGAACGGCAACTGGTAGAGTACGCTGGAACACGGTCACCGTAGCCTCGGCCACTTGCTCAGGAGTGTACTTTGTAGTACAGTCGTAGCCAGGGAGGACCATATTAGGCTTTAGTAGAGTACCCTCTAGATAAACGTTGTGATCGTGTAGTGCCTTGTATACGGCTGCCAACGTACGCTGAGAGGCTTCAACACAGGCAGCAAGATCATGCGTCCCGTCTGTCAATATCTCCGGCTCTACGATTGGAACAATCGAGTTTTGCTGACAAGTGCTGGCGTAGCGAGCAAGAACATTTGCATTCTCCATAACGGCAAGCTCTGACGGGCGGCCATTACCAATCTTCAAGACGCAGCGCCATTTTGCAAAGCGGGCCCCGTTCTCGTAATAGTTCTTGCAACGTTTGCCCAAATCGTCGAGGCCTTGAGTTGTGGTCTCCTCATCAGTTCCAAGGAGATTAACTACTCCTTTGTCCACCTTTATCCCGGGTATAACACCTCTTTCTTTCAATATGTCCACGAAACGCCTACCATCGTCTGCTTTCTGCCAGAAAGTCTCATCGTACAGGATGACAGCACTGATGTACTGTGCATACTCGGGAGGGCTACAGAAGAGCAGCTGGCGGTAAAGACGCCTGTTCTCTTCATTGTTCTCAACTTCAATAGGTGCGAATCTCTTCCCAATTGTTCCCGTGCTCTCATCAGCTGCTAGGATTCCTTTCCCCGGGGCAACGATTGCCCTAGCGTTGGCGGCTAGCTCCTTCTTTTGCTCCTCGGTAAGGTAAGACATCCTCAAATGAATGCAGTAGCGAGCCCTACTGTACTTTTAACTCTTGACCCTTGCAAATTGGTTTTAAAGTTCAACAGGATGCTTTACACGTGCTTCAGCTCTGCCTCTTCCCCTCCTTCTCACACAATTGGCCACTCACTACAGTCTAATTTTTTTTGATAAAAAAGATGACAATACTGTTTGTTGTTTAGATTCTAAATGACATTTTGTGTCTGTTGCTAAGGCAAAGTTGCAAACTGGCAAATTGAAATTAAGTAAAAATTCAAGACAAAAATAGGAAGACATTTTGATCACGTGATCAAATCAATAGTTTATAATAAAAATTAATTAATTAGCCTAATTAATTAACACCTAACTACAATTTCGCGGGAAAAGATGTCCTCCTCTTTTAATAAGCTTTCTTTATACAAACCAGCTGCAGTCTCTGAAAGGTACCCCCCCCATCTCTAGTAGTTTGTATTTTTTTATTTAAAAATAGGTTCATGTCTCCAGAACTGGTCAATCCCAGAAAGTACAAACTTTAAAAAAACTTTTACTATTTTTACTTTTAAAATTATTAGTAAGGAGCCCATGCCTTCTCCCAGTCTCCATTCCACTCCACCTCCTCCGACTCAGTCTCTCTCACTCTCAGATAACGAACACTCTCTACTGAGCAACGAAGCTCCTCTTAATTCAACGCTACAAAATGTAATAGCAACAACGACAATAATAATAATTATTATTATTATGTATATGTCATTTTTTCAAATGCAGAGTCGTATTTCTTCTGCCAGTGCTGGCGACGATAAAACTATGTTGATGGTACAAACGATAGAGTCCCAAACTTATTTAACAAGTCCCGAAGTACAGGTATACTTATAATTAATTAGTGGGTGTGGTTAGATTATTAATTAATGTATAGGTTAATACTATTGAGACTCCATCTCTTGCTCGTGTTGTCCGCCATTCTCCTCCTCCTCTTCCTCCACCCTCTCTCCCTGTTAGTAATTCACGTCAGCATCGGTTCAGTTCTAATTTTGTTCCATTGTCGTCATTCAAAGAACCTTTATCAGCATCAAAGGATGGAGGGACTTCAGTTAGGGAAAAACCAAGTCTTAGCTTATTGCAGCATATTGAAGAAGGTAATGATAATCAGTTGAAGATATTAGTAACTTATTTCATTAGAAATATTCATAACTTGCTACACAGCATAAGGGCATCAATATGTATCAGAAAATGTAATAAAAATTTGGGGTGATTTCGGAACCATTTTTTGAAAAAAAACCATGGACTATAGCCTTGGGTATTTTTCAGAATTTTGCCGTTTTTTTTAAATGGCCACAACTTGAAAAATTAAAGTCGGAATGAGCTCAAACTTTCTACACAGCATAAGGACATCAATATGTATCAGAAAATATAATAAAAATTTGGGGTGATTTTGGAGCCATTTTTAAGAAAAAACCATGGACTATAGCCTTGGGTATTTTTCAGAATTTTGCCGTTTTTTAAAAATGGCCACAACTTGAAAAATTAAAGTCGGAATGAGCTCAAACTTTCTACACAGCATAAGGACATCAATATGTATCAGAAAATATAATAAAAATTTGGGGTGATTTTTGAGCCATTTTTAAGAAAAAACCATGGACTATAGCCTTGGGTATTTTTCAGAATTTTGCCGTTTTTTAAAAATGGCCACAACTTGAAAAATTAAAGTCGGAATGAGCTCAAACTTTCTACACTGCATAAGAACATCAATATGTATCAGAAAATATAATAAAAATTTGGGGTGATTTCGGAGCCATTTTTTAGAAAAAACCATGGACTATAGCCTTGGGTATTTTTCAGAATTTTGCCATTTTTTAAAAATGGCCACAACTTGAAAAATTGAGGTCGGAATGAGCTCAAACTTTCTACACAGCATAAGGACATCAATATGTATCAGAAAATATAATAAAAATTTGGGGTGATTTTGGAGCCATTTTTTAGAAAAAACCATGGACTTATTGTACTTTTAGGTAATACTGATCTCTCAGATGAAGAAGTTGATGGAGCTGGTACAAACCTGGTATCAGCAACTTCATCGTCTTCTACTCTAAAGGAGTTACTGGGAGACAAGGAACATCAGAATAATGGAGGACATGAAGAAATAAAACCAACACCAGTTGAGAGTAAGTGGAGAGGAAAGAGAAGAGAGGGGGAGGGGGAGGCAATACTAGAAGACAGTGTATAATAATAAAATTAAGATTAAAGTAGAATTAAAATAAAGGTAAAGTTATCAGCATGAAATTAAAATTTAAATGATTTAGTAATTATCATATAATAGGTTTACAAGAACAAGCTAGTACGGATGTAAAGGAAAATGAAGGCAAAAGACCAAAAAAGAAAAGTATTATATTTTTAATATAAGTACAGCTATCATTATTGATCTAATTTTAAGGCTCTAGAGTTGTGGCATCACGCTACATGTCAGGTATTAGCAGCTACAAGAAGAACCAGTTCCCACCCAGCAATACATCAGTTAGAAATACTACCACTAGTACTACTACTAATAATAATAAAGTAAATTAATGAGAGAAAGCTACATGTACATTGTATATGTACTTCATCTTTCTCTCTCCCTCATTTTCTCTCTCTCTCCCCCTCTCTCCATCTCTCTTTCTCTCCCCCCTTCCTCTCTCAGTCGGTCATTACTAAACCAGTCAAAAGGGGGACACTAAGTCAATCTGTCAGTAATGTCTCTTTTAACCCCACCCATCGCCACACCTCCACACCAGCTGTTAAACCAGCCCCGGTCTTAAAGACTAATGAATTATCGAAAAGAACAGCAACCACAAACCAAACAAGTCAGTATATGTAACTTACTCTACTAACTGTATCTTGACAGTATAAGAAATGTGTTTTTTCATAGAAGGGGGCAACTTTGATATTTTTGTTCCAGACCCCATGTCTGTGGGGGCCCTCACTGCTAAAATAAATGGCATTACATTTTGTAATGCATGGACATTATTAACTTTCATGTTGATTATTATTATTATGTTACAATTTTAATACCGAGCCATATTGGGCCACATAGCAGAATAATGTTTTTAAATTATTTTATTATTAGGATTTGGGTAACAGTCAAAACTCATGCATACACAAGTGTTGTACTTGGAAGACTTACATTATTTTGTCTCTGTGTTTATACCCACTCATCATAATATGGACATTATTGCTATAGGATACATCATGTATAATAATATCCTTATAGTCATCATAATACATGGAAGGTCTATGTAATAGTAATTATGGATGGGCTTGTCTTAATAGTCCAGTGTATTGTTGATGGAGTGGGGTCTTGTGGTTATAGGTTAGGCTGTAGTTTGGGTTTAGGTGTGACAATATGTGTTGAGGGATTGGCACCAGCTTTGTAGACATGTTAACATTAATTAGAATTCTTTTGTTATTATTATTATTATCATTATTATTATTATTATTATTATTATCATCATTATTATTATTATTTATTTATTCTATTTTAGATCAGATGAAAAAGAGGCAGCAGCAACAGCAACCATTGCAACACAGCAATAGAACTGCCAACGTAATGATTTATAATTATTTTTTAGATATATTTATATTTTTTATTTAATAATAGCCAGCTATTAGAGTGAGTGGTAAGCCTTTAGATCCTACATCGAAGCAAGGACTATTGAATGCAAGACTGTTACAAATGACTTATTTAAGAGTAATGGTGAGACTTTAGTGTTGTACTATTGTAAATATAATGATGCTTTAATTTGGACATTTTGGATTGAAACTAAGTCAACTAATATAACTTGGTGACGCATGTGTGCAGAAGATTGCCAAATCAAGGACAATTTATATTGAAAAATTACTAAAATTAATTACTGTGTAATTTATTATACTTTTACAAAATTAAGTATATCAAAATGCTATACTTTAATTCCTCCCCCCTCTCTCTCTCTCTCTCTCTCTTTCCAGGCATTAAAGAACAAGAGAGCTGAAGAATCACAGGCTCAGCTCCAGTTGTATGATCTTTGGGAAGCGACTGAGGAGAAGAGAAGAGAAGTAACAGAACTCAAGAAAGAAATAGAATATTGTGCAAGAACACAAGCTATTGATGAATCACTTTCCTATCAAGTAAGTAAGACATTATATTAGATGTACATAATACTTTCTTCTTTTATAGTTGAAAGGTATTTCTGAATTGGAAGAGAAGCTAGCTGCCATTGAGCCTGACCACAAGACACTCTCGGAGTCACTTGATGCAACACTTCATGAGCTTCCAACAAAAGATATACTCATCCCTAATGAAGGTACTTTTAAAATAACTAAAAAATGGATAGTTCCTCTACAAAAATATACTCTTGTTGCAGAAAACTTGTAAAAATTTTTTACTATCAAAATTTTCAAAGTTTCATTGCTAATCATTATTATGCCACAGAGTCCTTGAAAATGATGATAAATCATGATACATGTATGTATGTGCCTTTTCTCTTTGTAGATGAGTTGGTTCATGGTATAAGTGAAGCTGAGAGCTCTAGCAAAGAAATACATCTCAGGATAGGTGATAGTGCTCTAACAGTTGACACTTTAGCTGAGAATGTCGAATCTTTGGCTAAGATTGTCAAGAAAGAACAAAACGAAGTGAAAAGGTTGTTTTATTGTAGCTTTAGATTGAGTAACTTAATCTTTCTCTCTGATCTATTTTAGACTCCAGGAGCACTTGCATAAAACTACAAGGACTCAACTGCATGAGACATCTCTCCATCACGAAAAAATTCAATTTGAGGCTCTTAAAAATGACAGAACGAAATTATAATAAAAAATTATAATAATAAGAAATAATTTGTATGCATGTCCGTTTCATCATTTTGTCTGTTGTCATCTTGTCCTGTAGTGAATGTTATATCTTTTTAAAATGTCTCTTGATTGTTCTATGATCCTATTAACCGATTTTTTGTTCTCGGAGCCAAACGGATCAAAGTTCAAATGAGTTTGTCTCTTAAAAAATCCTTCTCCATTCCTCTCAACACAATTCAGCCTCTCCTTCTCCACATGATGTCCTAGAAACTCCAATGCTTTGCTTAGCTCTAGTGTCACGTTCTCTTTGAGTTTTTCGTATTGAATGACGACATGTGGAATGTTTGATTCTTTGAGCCAGGTATTAAGAAAGACCAGCCACGACATTCCTTTGTATTCCACGTACCAGTCCCACTTTGGATTACCTGTAGCATATGAAAGAAAGAAAGATGAGGGAGGGTTTAGTTTTAAAAGGTAGAGGGGGATCAAAGTGTATTTATGTTTTTATTCAGTAGCTGCCAAATTAGCTATAGTTGCTGCTTGAGTAGGCAGAGTGACTCTTTGGGGTGACCTCTGTGCTTGTGTGCATATACATGAAGCCATAATAATACACTCCTTACTTATGAATGATGATTCTTTAGCAAGTCCAAGATGTTTCTCTGCACGATATTTCGAATTCCATCGTCTATTTGCTTCGCTTACCAATGCATCAAATGGATCCCGTACAATGACAACTGCTTTATCAAACTTTTGTTGCTTTAAAGGATCCCTGGCCTCAACAGGGAGGGCAATCGTGTCTGGATGGTGTGTTTTCACAACAAGAACACTTCCACTCACAATATATTCTCCTGGAAAGGCTGCTTTAAGTGTTGTGTCACAGTATATCGATCCAGTGTTGATCCCTGTTGCCTGCTCCAGTAAATGTCTTACCCATGTATTACCTGAGCCTTGAAAGCTGGCTAAAGCCACTAATGAGTGGTTCTTGTCCTGGAAAGCACGTTGCTTAAAGCAAGTCTCTTCACTGGATTTATCTTGAAGCATTTTGGCTGCTTTTGAGGGTGGGCATTGATAGTATCGAGAGAGAGAGAACTTGTCTAAATTTGCAATCCCTTTAGTCTTCAGTACTTGATCCAATTGTGCCTTTCCATGGCGACTCATTTTAGTTAGAGGCTTCATATTGCTGGGAATAAGTAGACTGGGCGGCCTCAACAAGGATTGGCTCCCATTTGCTGTCTTTCTGTTGTTGCTGCATTGCAAGTGACACAACATGTGGCATGTCTTGCTGTCTTGTTTTAGGTAGCTGCTAATGAATGAGACAAACAAGCTAGTGGTGATTGCAGCTACAAGTATGGCGTGTCTGGCTCTGCAGGAGAAAAAGGACATTGTCCTATAAAGGTTGAGTGCTTGCTTTTGCTCAAAAGGGGGGAGGCAATGCAACCTAACCTTACCTAAATAATTTAAATGGGTGAGGCTTACTTGCTCTCTCACGTGGTTTTGTGGCAGTGCAGTCTCTTTCTTCATTTCTCAGCTTTAAAAGGAGGCAAAAGAGAAAAAGAGAGACTCATTCTTATGTATTCAGTTAAACCTACCGCCAGGGATGGAGGATACAAACGCAGACTTGTCCCCCCGGCCAGCTGAGCCCCATCCCGCGGCTGACCTCTCTCGGAGATTCTCAATAGAAGAGGTCGGTTTCTTTGAAGGGACTGAGAAACTCTTGGAGGTTTGGTTTGACATTCCTTCCCCTGAAAGCGAAAGCAGAGGACTGAGGGACATACCTATGTAAGAAGCAAGGATAAAAGATTTCGTAATAATCTATGGCTCTTTGTTGTGTATCATAGGTCATTCTGGCAGGTCCTCCTTGATTTGGCAAAGTGTCACGTCCTTAGTAAATGCAATAATGAAAAACTCGATGCTTACGTCTTGAGGTAATAAAACATTTATTATATTCAACGTATTTACTAGTGTGACTCCATCAGCGAGAGTAGCATGTTCATATCAAGGAATCGGTTTATTTTAAAGACTTGCGGCACGACAAGTCTTCTCAGTACGGTCAAACCTTTATTAAAGACAGTGAAAAAGTTTTATCCACGGTCAGAAGTGAAAGTAAGGAGTAAAAAATAAATTAATAAAAATAATTTGCGAATATTTGTTGCATTTATTAGGATTTCTTTTACTCTCATTCTCCTTTCATGAAGCCTGATCTCCAGCTTCATCCTCATCACAGCTTCAATGATGAAGTAAGCGTGACCTTATATTTTTGATTATCTTCAAACTCCTTCCTTTTATTGTTTCTCCAGAGCACATATCTTGATACAATCTTCCCAGGTATGCAGCAGCATTGATAATAGTTAATGTACAATCTCTCGTTTTCTTAATAGATGGTGCTGCATATGTGCTTGGCAGAATAAATGGAAAATGCTGGTAAGTAAGTAGCAATCTCCTAATTTCATACAAACTGAAGCTATCATAGCATTACAGTATTATTTTGATGCTGGAATATAAATATATATATTGTAATTGAGAGAATGCTATCTTAGTATTGGAGGTATTATTAATAATGCATAATTGAGAGAGTTTAACATTGTAATGTGAACTAATAACTTTACTTTTGTGTTTTGTAGTACCATAGCTTACTTATATATGTGTTTATAGGTATCTTTATTTGGTTGAGTCAATCGAGAACCCTCTACAAGATCCTGATCAAACACTAGAAGTATGCACTTGCTTTTGTAAATGAAAATCTTTATATAATTGTCCTTGCAAGATATTAATGACAGAATTTGATTCGGAACTTATCGGTAGGTTCTCAAAGTTAAGCTATGAGTCTGCCGAAGATCTTAACAAAGTAATTTTAAGTCTCCGTCACGTTTTTGTTTATTTGTCACCTCCTGCTTAGTCTACGGGTTTGAATGACTTGATACCAGGAGCAACCATTGATTCTTATATATTTGAACCGTGTGGGTTCTCGCTCAACGCCATTGTAAAGGTTAGACGAAACAAACAAAAACCTTCTTTATTTCTTTCTCTCCCACTCTCCTCTCTCTCTTATTTAGGAAGACATGTATTTTACTATTCATGTAACGCCACAGGAAGAATGTGCTTATGTGTCTTTTGAGACAAACGTGGTTGGTGAATGCTATAAGTCTCTCATTAACAAAGTGTTGGATATCTTTAAACCAGGCAGCTTCACTCTTACCCTATTTGCAAATAAAGTAAATATGACCTCTATTGTAATAATTATATTTTACCAAAATTGAAAAGGAGAGAATCCTTCACTTTTATAATTTTATTTGATACATGTACTTATGTTGTGTTTCAAGTTTGAGCTTATTTTGATCAAGATTAGGTTTTTTACGAATTTTACAAGTTGCTCAAAAATTGGGCATGTAATAAAGTACAGGATATTTCTTCAGAATTGACTAGAAGAAATTTCTCCATTTATACTGCATTTTGTGACACCTATACATGTTCATCCTACCCTGCTGCATCTAATTGAGTCAGGCTTTTATTTTTAAGTAAAATTTCATTGTTTTTTCTCTTTCCTTCCAGGCTGCAAAATGTAACTTTTCTCATTCAGCTGACCATGATGGGGCACTCAGCAACTACACTTGCTTGGACAAACAGATCTCTCTCTTCTCTATTTATAATTTAACTTTCCTTCACTACAAGCACAACTCACTCTATAATCACAATAATAAATAAATAAAATTAGTTTTAAATAAATTATAAAAATACGTATAATATAATAAACTTGTTACCTGGTATGTGACTTGCAGCTCAATTTTTGGAGAAATTTTAATAAGCACTTATGCCCCATATTTTGTAGATATTTACTCTGTGTTCTAATTGGCTCTTAAGTATAATACTGCACTTTTAGAGAATATAATGGATAGAGCTAGACAAAATTCTGTTATAAAATTTATAAGTTGATTTTGACACCTTGTTTACACCTAGTGTTGTAAATTAGAGTGTGAACAAGCTTGTAAAAATTTATAAAATTTAATTTGTTAATGAAAAAAATAATGATCATTTTTATCTTTGTGCAACAACTGACAATAAAATAACAAAAAAGAGACAAAATAACAACAGAGCTGGTGGTCAAAATGTTATAAAGTAATAGTTACACTTAAACAATAATTGTGACTACAAGATATTACAACAGATTACACAAAATTCCTCCTGAGGCTGCTGTTGCTGCAACTGCCAAGCTCGATATTCCGGAACATCGAGAGCATTTCCAACCTTTATTGTGAAAGGGCTCCCAGGAATTTTGCACTTGTCATCGTCCCCATTCCCCCACATAAAGTGAAGCTTATACATTCCATTTGCCTTAGGATGGAAGACTGCTTCATACGTCTCCTGTGAAAGAGCATGAATTTGAAATTCTGCAACTGATGGCCCAGTCCATCTTCCTCTCAGTGGACCAAGTCCAGCTCCCTCTTTTGCTGTAATTTTTATGACAGATTGCTGTCCACAGGGAATAGATTTAGTTAGTGCCTCACCACTTGCTATGACAAGGTGAGGATTAGAAGGTACTTCTCCTTCGATTGTTGCAAAGAAAGGGCTTCCTTTGATCGGAAGGCCACCAAAATTGCAATCGATCTTGTGCTGCCCTGGTGCTTTTGGCAGATACGTAACATCATGTGTACCGTCATTATTATTAATGATGTTTAATTTGTCTGGAGGTTTATGTTTTCCTAAGATCACTACTGCCAGACCCAGACGAGCTACTCCTGCCTCCTTTGGTGCATGTACTTTGAATCTAGCAATTTCATTAATTTTTCCACGAGTTAATCCTTCCCCTGTGGCAGTGCAAAGCTCAGGATTGATGTCCTTAGTCGTACCTCGTCCTCCACCCATCATTAGTGGGGTCTTGTCTGTAACAGAAGAATCAAACTCCTCTTCCATGGTCTCGAGTTTCAGTTGAGTTGGTGATCTTTTTTCTGTTTTAGGCCTAGAGGCTATAGCCTAGTGACGTCTATAAGTCTCCTGTTTTATAGCAATGCTCCAAGATAATAAATCCCCTCGAATGACATCAAGTGTACCTGTGTAACCTGGTATGCAATCAAAGAAACGTAGATCCAATTAAATCCAGGATGTCTAGTGGTGATATCATTGTTAACTTCCTTTTTTTAGCTGGTGGAAGTGACGTTTTATAGTAGCTGGGTGTGGCTCATTATTTTTTGCAGCAAACTCTGTCTGCAATGATGGCAGCTTTCATGAGGAGCAAAAGAAAGGGAGAAAAAGTTGTACTATATTACACCATAGCATGGATCAGCTCAATGGCTCTCATAGTAAAACTTAAACTCTACGAGTCCTTTGATTCAGAAGACTACATAAAGATAGGATTGGCTCTTTCAATACCTTGCTTTCTCTTACAATTATTAAGCAAAGAGGAGTCTCTACCATTCTACAGGCAGTATTTATTTAAAGCAAACCTCTTTGTGGGTATTATCGGTTATCTGGGCAATCATTTCTACACTCATTACTTCTACAATGTTCTTGGTATGCGATACACTGGTCCTTTGTCAGGCGGGATAAGAATAAACGACGTACCTTTATCCATGTACCTAATGACACATCCTTATTTCCTCTCCTACCACGTTCTCGTCAGTCCAGTTATACGCGTTTTTAGACGTGCTCTCTCCGGCAGGCACTACTTGTTATACCACAGTTGCTTTGGGGTATTTGTTTACATAATTGCCGTGACAACAGCTTTCATTGAAACCTACACAATCAGCAGTTTCCCTTACTATACTTACCCAGACTTTCATGAAATGCTAACTTACGGTTCTCTCTTTTATGGGCTGTTCTTTCTAGTTAGCTTCCCTCTGTTTCATTTTATTGATGAATCCACAGAATGGCCTTTAAAGAGCGTGGCAATGAGTGCATTTGGGTCTATGATGATAGTACTGTTACTAGCAGACATTAGTAGATTAGTATTGAATTTATCCTCTTCATTACCATATGCATAATGATCGTGATGACTAAAAATGTTTCTAAATATTCCATTACTACTTCATTGAGTTGTATATGTGGCTTGTACATACAAGCATGGTTATTTTTTTCTTTCGATGTTATTTTAACTGCTGTTATGATCATGTTGTGGTGTGCTTATCATGTTTATACATTATCAAATAAAGTGGGCAGTCTATTGCAAACAAAGAGACAAAGAATTACAACAATTCTAGTCACAGAAATGTCAATGTTCCATTGTTGACTGCATGTAGTGAATGTGTCCCACTACAAGACATTACAAATATACTATAATTGCACTGTTTATCAAATTATACAAAATTCCTGTGGTCGTGGTTGGACGGGGCAGCTGCCAATATCCTTATTTGGGCATATTTTGCCTCCAAAAGTGAAGCTTTGACCACACTCAAGCTATGGGTAAACATCACTGCTAATAAGTGTAAAAATTTATACTACATTACATACATAGTCTATTGCGAACACTAAAAATGTAATGATAATACACATATCTGTGTTCAAAAATTCAAAAAAAAAATTAATGTTAGCAATTGAAAAATGTCTGGAATTATAACAATAAGCCCTACATTTAGCCAGTTTTGGCACAAAAAGATTGAAAGAGAGAGAGCGAGGGAAAACAGAGAGAACCGCAGTTTATTATTCCACTTTAATTGTAAAAGGGCTGCCTGCAATTTGAGATTCATCATCATTGCCGTCGCCCCACATAAAGTACAGCTTATACTCCCCGGAATCCTTAGGACAGAAAGATGCCTCAAAAGTCTGCTCTGGAGTGCTTTGAAGATGTAAATCCGCTTTTGACGGACCTTCCATTTTTGCTCTAAGAGGCCCAGCACCAGCTCCCTCTCCTGCTACAATTGAAATGACAGCGAGTTGTCCACAGAGAACAGGTTTGATAAGTGCATCGCCACTTGCTGTGACAAGGAGAGGATTGCGAACGGCTTCTCCTTCGATTTTTGCAGTGAAAGGACTTTCTTTGATATGAAGGTCGCCAAAAGTACAATTGATCTTGTACTCTCCTGGTGCTAGGGGCTTGTAATTGACGTCCATGGTTCCATCTTGATTATTGATTATCTCGATTGGTTTGGGCGGATGAGGTCCTGAGATTGAAACCCCCAGACTACCAGGCCCGGCATCTTCAGGTATGTGAACTATAAATTTAGCGAATTCGTTCACTTTCCCGTGAGTAAGCCCATCACCAATGGCAGTACAAAGCTCAGGCTTGATGTCCCTTCCCTTACCACCGACTGGTATGACAAAGGGACTGCCAGGGATCTCTTCGTCTCCCCACTTTACCATCATTCGGTACTCTCCAGGATCCAAACATTTTATCGTGACTTCTACTCCTTCCTCGCTCGAATCATCAGCGACAATGGACGGCTTTGATGGACCGATCAATTTAACACCCAGTGGCCCTGGGCCAGAGCCAACATCAGCAGATACAAAGAGTTTAATCGGTTCGCCTACTTGACCACCCGATAACCCGTCGCCGGTCACCTTTACTTTGCTGGGATCATTATTAATGGGTCCAGTGACATTAACGTTGAATGGGCTACCCTTGACATGTGCTTCTCCCCATAGCACACGTATAGTATACTCTCCTGGAGCCGTTGGGTGATATGTCACTTCGATAGCGTTGTCCTCAATTTCAGCCATTTCGATTGGCTCCGCTCTTGATGCCCCAAGTATGTGTACACGCATGCGAGTGAATCCGGCTTCTTCTTTAAGTCGTACGGTAAAGCGACAAGGTTGATCTGTGGTACCAAATTCAAGGCCTGGTCCGAAAGCTTCTGCTTTATCAGTATAGCTGGCATACTTAACGTTTGCTGTGAAAGGGCTGCCTTTGATCTCCTTACCTTTCACCTTTATGGTGACCTTGTGTTCACCGGCTACCGAAGGCGTGTACTCGCATGAGAACTGCCCGGTACCAAGAGGTTCTATAATGACGTTCTTAGACCCGGTGGGACCCACGGCTTTAACTTCAAGATCTTTCTCTCTGGTTTCGGGAGCACATGATACTTCAAAAGTCCCCGGTGTGTTGACTTCAAAGGATTCTAGCCCCGGGCCAAAAGCTGTTGGTTCAACTATCGCCATTTTGACAGGAGAACCTTTCGGAGGAGTTGGAACAGAAGGGGCAAGGGATGGAGCGGGTTGAGTAGAAGGAGCTGCTGCAGGCTGTGACACAGGAGTAGCTTTGTTGCCTTTGATGTCGACCGTGTAAGAACTGACGTGGGTCTTTCTCTTTGGCTTAGGGGCCACTGGTGGCGGGGTCTTTTTCCTATTGGAAGCCTTGTTGGCAAAGCTGATTACAGAATCAAACACCTCGTCCAACTCTTCTTGCATGGTTTTGGCAGGGCGGTTGGTCTTCGCTGGTTTGGCGCTAGGCCCTGTAGTAGTAGTAGTGGGGCTCGCCTTTACTGCTGGAGGTGGCGGCGGTGGTGGTGGAGGAGCAGGTCCACTACCAGTAGCAGGAGGAGGCGGCGGAGGAGCAGGGCTAGCAGAAGAACTGGAGTCGAAGATCCCCAACTCGGCAAGAAGGTCATCCGCTTGAGCGTTGATGTCAGCCATAACTGCGTCCTGGGTAATTGTCGGTCTATTACTACCAGACATCACTTTTATAGTGTCTAGGGCTACAAAGGAAACCAGCAAAGGGACTCAAAAAGAGAAGCGATTATGGACAAAGTAAGGAAGTGTAGTTCTGCATGAGACCACGCCCATTTGAGCTCCACCCACGCAGACCACTTGGAGCAAATGATAAACAAAATTAATAATTGAACTGAGTAGTGTTTATTTAAAAATTTGTCTGAATTGAAAAATAAACAAGAAATGTATCGGAGAGAGAGAGAGAAAGGAAAAACATTAGAGAGAGAGAGAGAGAGAGAGAGAGAGGGAGGGATGATAAATAACAACGACAATAACAATAATAATAAGAATTATAGTAACAATTCGTAGCATGAGTTTTCTGATGATATCGATGGTAGGAGGGACGAGACATTTATCATTATAAAAGATGAGCGTCCATTAGTGCATGGAGCAGCTCTGAATGCCCGGGTCTATCAGAAATACTAAGGACCAACTGTATACAACCAAACCTTAGTTTACTGCCATGAAACACTAGAGCTGACCCCTCCCATCCTTTGCCACTCCCTCCAATCAGGCTAGAAGCACTTCTTTTACACAAACAAGACGATTTTAAAGCAGTAGAAGAAGAGGAGGAGGTTGTAAGGTTTTTGTTTGATGATTGAGACAAAGAAGTCGCTGACGACGAAGACACATTGTGATTCTCGTTAGTCCTAGATTCACTCGAATTGCTAGTGGATGTAGGAACGTGACTTGGAAACTCGTTACAGCTGCTCTCCGGGGAGCTAGGAGGCTCGCTGGAGCTCGACGAGTAATTCTGTTGCCTTTTTAAACTCTCCGGCAGGCGAGATGAATCAATAACACACTCTTTGTTTATTGATTTACTCAATTTAAGAGCAGCTGAGAGAGCCGTCTTGGCTCTTTCTTGATCTTTTAAATTAGCACGTGCAGCTTCAAGTCTCCTCTTAGCATTGAGTGCTCTCCTTCCATCTCCTATCGCTAGTACGTCGTCAAGAAATAACATGGGCTCCTCTCTTGGTGGAGCCTTCTCAGAGAAGTCGCAAGAATAAAGTACCCCGTCGACAATAGAACCGTGTTCACTGTAGTTGATCAGTTCGTACTCTCCAGTTTCCTATTAGAAAATAAAATCAAATAAATAAATAAATAAAATAATAATAATAATAATAATAATAGTACAAATTACAGACTAAGTTGATTAATAATACATGCTACAAGTATGTGTACAAAATACAAAATGTATAAGAATTAAGAACAAGTAAAAGTACATGTACATATACATGTACATTATTATATGTACACAGATAATTATTAGTGTATTAGTAAATGTATGTTCATCGTACAACATAGGTTTACTAAAAAAGGTCACATTCAGTGAAAAAGGATCAACACATTCAAAGTCCAGATATACTATTATTACTGAGAAGAATTTATTATTGCTACAATTATTGTAAAAACACATATAATACAGTAAATAGCATAGGAATGATGAGTAGTACAAGTATACACTTACAAACAGTGAACCTCATACTATGTTACTATTGCAAACATCTGTCACTGTAATCTAACCACAAAACACTACCACAAATATTTGTAAAGAAAGGAAGATGATGCACATCAGAAAAGGTAATCAAAATGAAGAATTCTCTCAGAGCCATTATAGTTGAAATACACTGTACAACAGGGGCTTTTGTTTGATTTATGAGGAACTTTAAAAATTCGTAAAAAATCTAATTTTGATTGGAATCAGTTCAAACTTTCTACACAACATAAGAACATGTATATGCATCAGAAAATATTATAAAAATGGAGAATTCTCTACTTACCAATTTTGACAAAATTTGGCCCGAGACCATGTACTATATATAGTACAGGGACTTTTACTCAATTTTGGAGCAACTTAAAAAAATCATAAAAAGTCTAAATTTAATTGGAATCAGTTCAAACTTTCTACACAACATAAGAACATGTATATGCATCAGGAAATATCATTAAAATGGAGAATTTTCTACTTTCCAATTTTGACAAAATTTGGCCCGAGACCATGTACTATACAGGGACTTTTACTCAATTTTGGAGTAACTTTAAAAAATCATAAAAAATCTAAATTTGATCGGAATTAGCTCAAACTTGAAACACAACATAACAACATGTATATGTATCAGATAAATTATTAAAAAATGGAGAATTCTCTTCTCATGATTTTTGATGAAATTCACTATACTATAGTACAGGGGCTGTGGCTAAAATTTGTAGCAACCTATCTATCACACACCTTATCAATAATGAGACAAGCATGATGTGAGGAAATGTAATTACAATGACCGTATCTTGCTAAACACACATCCATGTCAGAACCTATGAGAGAGAGGGAGAGAGAGAGAGAG